TTCTTTTGCTAAGACTTTTATTGAGTTGATCTTTTGCTAAGAAATTCAAACCTAGCACCAGTGTTGGTTTTCATTGGATTCATTTCTAGTTGTTGTGGTACTGGTACCTGCTATGCCATTACGCTACAAAGAAACATCAGTACTAGTAATTTTAGCCAGTGCTCATGGTGGGAGTATGTACAGTATGACAGAGGCTTTGGGGCAATGGTGCATGCTAGACCTACTAAACATGCTGTCAAGATGCTTTCTTTGCACCCCTATTCATAGCTTTCTAGTACTACTATTACAACTGGAGCTTATGTTATTTTTCCTAATTTTCTTTTGCTTTGTTTTGCTTTGCGACTCAACAGGCAATTGTGCTGCTTGACCAGTGTATCTTTTTTGCACCACATGTAAAACATGCATTTCCTTCATTTTTCTTTTCAATTTTTGTTTTAAAGGTGACGCAGGACCAGGCCAGGCAGCTGGACCAGTTTATAGCTCTTTTACAACAGAGCAAGGAAAATTGCCATTGCACCAGCTGTAGTAGCAACAGCACTGGCTCTGAGAAAAACACCAAGAAGGGCAGCAAGCCTATCAGCACTTTTGTCCTGCTTGGGAACAACAAGTGGAATCTGAGTAGCAGAGCTAACCTTTCCATTCTCTTCTTCATGTTGAAGGCATCATTCTCCTGCAAATAGAAGCTCTTGTGGGTCTTGATTCCCTTCAGTTTGTGACCACCAATTTACTAGGCAAATTCTGCTGCACTGGTGCAGGTAATATGTGTAGGGGAGTTTTCATCAGCTTTTGCATTTGGGAAGTATTTTTTAACAACAACACTGGTGCATTTGTAGTGGGACAAAATGTCCAGCGCTTCATTCATCACATCCAAACTGATCCCATTCTTGTCAATGAGGGTTCACCAATCTCACACCACATTTCTCAGTCCTGTAACATTATATATATATATATATTATATATATACGCACAAAGACAAGTCCCATCCAACCTTGTATTGATTAATTGCACCATCACACCTACATGTCAGCAACTCAATGCCTACTTCAAGATCAGAAAGTGGCTTGACAKTGGAGATTACTTCTCCTAGATCAGCCTAAATAGAGAAATTTCCAAACTCCCAATTAAGATTTTGTTGAATAATTGTTTTATGATTAATATATGTGAGATCCTCAGCCGCAACTGTGTCAGTCTTATACATAATTCTAATACCTGCATTTGAAAACAAAACAGTCAAAAGATATGAGCTACAGAACAGAACCAGTTTGAATACCATTCACACCACACCATTTAGATACTTATGGAATTCAGTCACGTCTTTACCAATACTGTTGCATGACAGGAGCAAAAAAGATTCTGGATTGATATTACCATGGGAGATATCCTCCATCTCTGCATGAAACTTGCTTTATCAGGATGACATTGTTTTTCATCTATGAAAAGTTGTGCAAATATTACCCCAAAAACACTACATGTAGCAGTTATATTGCAAAAAAATCCTCTGCATACTAGGCTGATTCCCATTAGTAGTCTAAATCTGTAATAAATGTGAATCTAGTTAAGAGAAAGGAATTCAATTTTTGTTACTAAAGGAATACAATATCTTAATCAAATGACAAGAAGAGACAAAAACAGATGAGGACTTCAAAATTATGTCAGCTAGTAGTAGTAGAAAGAAGAGCATAAAATATTATTATTAGAACTAGTACCATAACTTCCTCTCCTGTTTCCTCCTTACTAGTAGTTGCATTATTATGTCATACTTTCTTCCTGGCACGCTAATGGCCTCTGAATGGGTCTGGTTGAGATTGCAGTGATGATATCCAGCGCCTGGGTCCTTGAGCAAGAGGAGGCCAATCAGGAAGCTTCTTTAGAAGAGCAGACAAAGAAGGAAAGGAAGAAACTACCACTACTAGAGGAGAGATGTCAAGGGATATTGTGATAGCAATAGACAGTGTATAGTTGTKCTTATWGATGATACAGTGGTAGGAGGAGCCAGTATCCTGCTTTTTGCAACCTCTACTATCTGTCCTCAAATCATGCTTGGTTCCCCTTGTAGGGAATGAATCCACATGTCATATATTAGAAAAAGAATCCATTCCATTGAATACCACCAGAACTAGTGTACTGAAAAAATGTTTGCATTTTAAACAGTAGTAGTAGTAGAAGCAATTTCTATTACAATGAGCATATCAGCACCTCTTCCTCTTCTGATAGTGCTTGTCTAGTAATAGCCAGGAAGTAGTAGTACAATGGGGCTAACAAACTGCTGCTAATAATCCCCATGTACTAGAATGCAACCACCTTAGTTTGTACCACTGTACCTTTTGAGAATTGAAAAATTCATATCAAGTGCTTTCCTTTTTCTCTATTTTCTTCTTCTTTCTAACCACTACTACATAAAGCACCAAATCAATTGATATCAGGACTAATGTTGGGCTGGGACTAGCAGTACCAGTAGGACAAGAACTACCATGTGGTCTTGGGATACAAGAAGAAGAATTGTATGGAATGTCTTGTTACTACTGGGTGTGATCTGCACCAAATTACTGTTCCTGGTACTAGGATTTATTAGAGATATGAAGGTGTAGTGAATATGTCTATACCATGCTCAAAGCTGTGCTGCCTTCCTTACTACTACCTAGTATTCCTTCCCCATACTAAAAAAGAATTTCAAAACAATTGTTACTTCTATAGCACCTCTTTGAGTTTTATCATTGCTGCATCTTTGGAAGTGTCCCTTGAAATTTTGAAATAGTTGCAACTAGCTTATAATATGTGTTTTACCAGCATGACTCAATTCTTCCAAGACCACAACCCCCTAGTAATTACAAAATAAGAATTGACTGGTTGGACCTCCTACCCTTGGAGGTGCTACCCGTTGGAAACACCAGGAACAGTACCAATTTTGGCCAGCATAGCTAGTACCCCTTCTGGTGGTTCATGAGGAGTTTAAATATATTATCAAATTTTTCAAAATGTGTGATTTGCAACTATTCAGCATTACTGCTACTAGTAACCTCACTTGTGTTTTCTCTTCATGATGATTTTTTTCGAATATGAATCTACCACACATGTCGTGTTTTTTTGGCTTTATCACATGCAGTAGTAGTCTTTGCCTGGTGCCAGATTGTGTGAATATTTTTAATACACAATACCAACAAGTACTACTCATGATTGTTTGCCTTCTTCAGGTGTACCCTGCTCAAAGCACCTACTATGTAGAATAGACTCCATGCTACTGTTCAATACACATTTTCTCTAGGTACTACCCAGGTACTCACAACAATATAAAAAGTACAAGAAAGGCACTTACTGTAGTATGGCTTCTTAGCAACGTGACAGGATATATGTAWTACCTGGGTCTTCTACATCCAAAAAAGATTCACTAGTAGTGTTTCAGCATGCAAAAATGACTGWTGTTGTACAATGATTACAATATTCTTTTCAGTACTATCCAGTGGTAGTTTTCTGCCAGCAGAAATTSTTACTCTATGCACATTCCGATTAAKCAAGAGTACCAAGGCTGCCATCTCCAGAGGTAAGAGCTAGATTGGTAAWAGTTTCAACATCAGCAATGGTGATAGGCCTTCAACAAAATAAAAATAGCAASTACTTTGYCAAGGGCCTACTATTAATACTACTAGTAGTATAAGAATCAAATTTGGTTTGAYGTTTGAAACCTTATGCAAGAACTGTGCCAGTGGTGATGATTTGATTYRAATAAATTCGTGGTGACTGACTTCGGTTTTCGTAAGGTGCTGTGTTGTCCGAATTCTWTAAGTAATTCTTCTTATCAATCCAGCTATTTAATGYATTCTATTWCAAGTGATCTGGCATTTTGTAACCAAACAGATCCATGATTTCCGGTGTAAACACCTCTTTTGCCACAAGCCAGTCAACTTCCCTCATTCCCTTGAAGCGATTTTCTTCCGAACCATACTTGACCATTGCCGAAACCATGTTGGTATGGCTTTTGTGTGCTGCGCCCCACTTGGCACTGTCAACAACGTAACGAAAGAGGGCGTCATCCTCTCGGGGAACAGCCCCTGCACATTGACAAACTGTTTCGACCAGTTCCTTCGCATGAAATTGAATGTCTTCAAATCGAACGATCAAGCGAGGATAATCTGCTTCAAGATATTCTTTGTACCACTGCGCCCAGTAATGAGCTAATGATGTATAGTTGGCTGGTGGATTGTATTTCACTTTAATCGGGACAATATCCGGTTTTCCATTTGGAAGAAGTTCAGGTTTGGCAAGGTTTGGACAAAATATTGAATGTGGCCATCTCGCCTCATAATTATGTTTACACTGGGAAAAAAGACACATGGAACGAAATTTACAGTCATAACAGAAAGGTGAGGAAAAAATAGGATTCTCAAAACGAGTTACAACAATATAAGACTGCAAAGTCGAACTAGAGTCATATGTGTTTGTGTTTATAGCGAAGCCAGTTTGGGAGAGAAGAGTACGAATCTTACCATACTTTGCATCCAGCTGTATGGATCTCGCACAACAACGATCGGCATCACATTGGTTTTGTTTACTTTGTGATCGTGGCCGGCTGTGTTGGTCCATTTGCGGGAAGCTGGAGCGTGTTTCCCCCAAGGTACTTGCTAAAGAAGCAAAGAATAAAATGATGCGATGCGTAAGCAGTGGATAGGAATATGCATTTCAAATCATTTCATGATGCGATTTCATTTTGTTGGCGTAAAAAACTCACCCAGCGTGTACCTCCAGCTTTGTCGTTCTTATTTCTAGGCAATTTGCAGTTGTTGCTGATATACATCGCAAGAGGGTTCGTCCCGGTGTTGAACATCCCAGCTGTACCAATCGACGCGTCCACGGGATCAAACTGAGTTCGGAATTTTTTGCAATTTTCCAGTCCGAGTACAACCGGTTTACTGCCATACAATTCTTCAACTGTTTCCCACTTTGGCAACACCGCGATAACCTCTGGATCAACGTCCAAGATGCCAGCTTCACTCAGAATCTCTACCAGACGTTCTCTTCCGTCGATCGCTTTGTCGCGCGAAATACCGGTTAACTCATCAATCTGTTTCTTGTCAAATCCCATCGATGGCAAGTCTTCTTTCTTAAACTTTGTAATTGGGTTGTAGACAATTGCCCCTTTCTTGTCGCGTTTCGGACCCAACTGGACTTGATTTTTTTTGTTGTAGGGTTTGAATATATTTGAATCCGATCTCTTGCCTTTTTCGACTACGGGATGCTTTTCTTTGTGTTTTTTTACTTCTTTCAATAATTTCCTCCATGGTTTTGAAACATGCTTCGGATAGTCCTGGGGAGCTTGAGCTTTCTCTGCCTGTTTACGTTTACCTCGCCGCCTCTGATTTTGCTTTTGATCATCATGGAGCTTTCGAGCGTTTTCCGCAGCTTGCTTCTGAATTTCTCGAGGGCTTGCCGCTCTCTCCCCTGTTCGGACATGGTTTTGGTCACCAGCAGAATTGAATGTAACTCGTGACAAGGCGATTGTATAAGCCAGGGCAATTGAGCACATTACGAATATTATAAAATACTGTAATCCAGTAGTTGTCGATGACACATTGCGATTACTGGTGCTCTTTCTGCGTAACCTTGACGACGACTTCTTCTGTGATTTACTGTTGGGCGAGGATGCAGCATCCGCGTGTCGGTGTCGCAAGGACTTCATCGCTCTGTTTTATTGTCACTTATTTGCGTTGCGGGCAAGGGTAGGATCAGGAGCTATTTCGGCATGAATCAGTCCGGGTGTTGGACGACAAGGGTACAGTTCTACCGGAGCCCTCGATCGGAGACAGGGAGAAAAAGTGGGTCATTACTGTACTATTAGAAGTATGGTATTTGATTACGACGGTTTACTCACTAAATTTGGTGATTTAAAAAAACCAATACGTTTTTACCGTTTAACGGTAAAAAAGAGTAATCATACTAGTACCACGAATGTTGAGTACCACTTGTTGGCTACGGTGCACTACACTTCACTTCACTATCTTTAGTGCGTGTAGCCACTAACTTTGAAGAATTCTTACAGCCCTGGAGGTACCGTTACTGGAAACCTACTGTTCTAAATTTTAATTACTGGAAATCTACCGATCGGATTAAAAACATCTTTCTTTACTGGAAATCTACCGATACACTTTCTTCTTATCTATTTCAACCTTTTTTTAACCTCCATTTTCCGTTCACGAACCGACGGACTTTTAAAAACTGCACGCTAGTCTCCCTCACCTCCTCCCTCACTGCCCCCCTCTCCCTCTACTTCAGAACACCTTTTATTTCCAAAGAGGACCTTCCAACCGGAGTTTCCGTTCGACAGGAAGTATAAAATATACGTTATTTATAATAATCATAACATCCACCAAGCAATTTGGTTTACAAAGCAYGTGTCATTCTTGGTCGGGGGTTAAAAAAAGGTTGAAATAGATAAGAAGAAAGTGTATCGGTAGATTTCCAGTAAAGTAAGATGTTTTTAATCCAATAGGTAGGTTTTGAGTAACTAAGAAAACGAACGGTAGGTTTCCAGTAATGGTTCCCAGCCCTGGACTTACCGAGGAAACAAAAAGATAATTTTTTTTAGTGTAAATTTGTACAAACCCCGGTATCTTAATTTTTGCAAATAAATTAGTACCTTTACCAAAATACATTATTTCATTTTTAACTTAAACATTCAGTCATTATTGTGACAACAAGTCATTCTACTATCAATAACCTAGTTTTTGCACCGTAGTAAGTTTTTTTGGCCGCCGCCATCCTTTTTAAAAAAAAACAAAGGCGGCGGCCGCAACCAATTTCGAAGTAAAATGCGTTAACCATATAATCCTACCACACCCTACAGGGCAAAAGGGCATCCTACTCAAACACTAAAAATTACTACTATTACTAGAAAAATCACAGTTACTCTCGAAGCCAAATATTTTAGTACTGATCCTACATAGATCTACTAGTTTTTGGTCACTTTTTCCACCACAAGCTGAACACAACAGCTCTGGAGAGGCCTCTAATACTAAGATCCTGCCCTTTGGGGATATGCTCAGCAGTCATTGTGTTAAGAAGAGGAGGAGGAGTGCTTGTCACAAAAAGTGTTCGCGGGATTTGGTCGCAACCCCACGCGTGTAGTTTTTGTGCGACCAGCACTTAACACGGTGAAGTTAGTATGATTATCAAGCTTACTGACGACCCCCTATTTGTGATTATTTTTACGTTGCAATGCCCATTCACTCTGCGCACCAAATTTATTCTGCCGATATTCAACCCATACTCGCTCATCCTCCACTCCATATTTTTACTTTGGGGGGTTGCGATACACAACCTCAACTGTTGCGATGACAGTAACCTTGGACCATGACTCTTTGAGGGAAAATGCAAGATGTACACATGTAAATAGTAGTATTACTCTCAAATAAACTTGTTGTAATCACTATTCTTGTGCTACAATGACTCCCTTTTCTATGATAGTGTCAAATTTTTGTGATGTCTGCGGCAATCCCTAGCTTTTGGATGAGAAATTACACAACTATCTGTGTTACTACTATGTTTGACGAATGAATTCTAAGAATGCTTTTATTACTAAACTTCTTCCACAACACTCCCCACCATTCCAGCAATTAAATTGTCCCTGGCACACTGTACTGTTGTATCAGTTAGGTCTCTGAACCGTTCACAGACATAAATGTTGTCCATCATGGTAACATCAACCCTTGCATCCAAGTTTGTTGGTAGTGCAGCTCTACCATTCTTCCTTCTACATTCTTCCCTGAAACATTCTTGCATCTGTTACTCAAACACCTCTCCTGTTTGTGGGTCCTGTTGAAGTTCCTTAATCTCAGCACACAACTTTTGGTACAGTACCTTTCCCTCTTGAGCCCACCCATCTCTCCTACCACTTTTTGCATCACAAAATCTTTTTTGCTCCAACTTTACCGATCCGTCTTTCTTTTTCATAAGGGCAGACTCCCATACGTGAAGTTCATTGTAAAGCATCAGGAGTGCAAATGCCTCATCCTCAACAGTGAAAATTTCACTGAGCAAGTGCTCTGCTGTCCCTTTTGTATTTCCATCGAAATTGTTATTTCTAGCATTAATGGATGCCAAAATTCTTGTAACAAAATAATAAAACTCTGGATTGTCTGCACTGCTGTATGCTCTGTAGTCTGCGTCTAATACCCTCTCCTCTTTATCCTTCATGTCCCAATCCAAAACTCTCAATGTTCCTGGAAATCTGTCTGGGACCTTTCCCTTTTCACTGTCCTCTGCTATGGATGATGAAAGAAAATTGAAGGTGTCAATTGTTAGACCATTATTGTGGAAGTTGGATCACCAGAGGTCAATCAATTCCTCAGCACTTACCAAGCCATTTTCTTCTTGTATAACTCTGAGTGTTGTGTTGTATTCTGTTGAGCACCTGTAGTAAAAGGGTATTCTCCAAGTACACACAGGCTGTGTGTCATTGTTACACCATGATTTTGCTAGTTTCTGAGACTGGCTGGTGGTGGTTAGAAAATAGTAGGCCTGAACTCTATCAAAAAACAAGAACTCCTCTAGACCACCAGACTAAGCACCCAGTCCAAGTTGATAGTATCGTATAGGCTTGGCCAGCCAATGCACGGTTTAAACCGTGGATTAGCGGCCATCTAATTACCGTGTAACGACTCGTGGGATTAAAAATTGGCTTGTGCTGCAGTGTACAGCCGGGCACATGCTGAATTTTTGAGTCCCACAAGTGTTTGACCAAATAGTTTTGCGTGCACGTGCTCAACCAACAATTTTGGCTTCGAACACATGCAAATTTTTAATGTGGGACTCAAATCCGTTGAGTCGAAGCAGTCTTAACACGGTAATTAGATGGCCACTAATCCACGCACAGGTATAATTTAACCGTATAACTGTTTTAGTCTTGAACTGACAGTCTGGACTGTAACTTTTGCCCCAACGGACGCTTAAGTATGATAAGCACATGGTTAAAAAGAGAATTCAAAGAGCTTTCTAATGGCGTGGGGGAGTACGGCGTACGACGAACATTGAATGATATACGTTTATGTATATCTTGAATTACTAATGTACGGTTTAAACCTGCTTTTTTGCTTGGCCCATGCTACACGATAATTACTGAAAAAACCATATTGTTGGGAGCCTTAAGGATGCTCTGGCGGCTTAGTAGAACTCCTGGTCTGTCAATGTTACACTAGTGGATGGCCAAAAATCTAAATTGGTTTTGGCTGTAATTTTCTTAGTATATTGAAATAAGTACGAGTACTGCAATGAAAAAAGGTAGCACAGATCACGGCTGTTCACAGGCAGACAATTTTGTTTGATATTTGGCATTTTCTTACTAGAGTTAGGAATAAGAATACTAATATTTGGTAGGAATCAAGCAACCTGATTGACTGATTAGACAGATCAAAGTTTGCAATTCCTTGAAATTAAATTTTCTTGTAGAACAAGGACAGTATGGTAACATAAGAGTAGTACTAATCAATCCAAATTTTGATTTCTAAAGTAGTACAAATCCTTTGTGAGATTTATTTTCAATATTTGATCTATCTAATCAGGCAATCGGATTGCTTGATTCCATGATATTATCCCTAACTCAAAGAAAACACCAACTGCTGTCAAATGAAATCTGCTTTTGTACAATTTGGACAGTCATGGGCTGTTCAAGGTTCAAGAGGACATTTTACAATCAGTCCGGCATTAATTCAGTAGAGTTCAGGAGGTTATCACCAAAATATAGCTATTTTGCTAAAGTATTCTAACTAGTCAAAAACAAAGTATTCTAATTGGCTGAAAAGGAGGTATTTTAATCAGTCAAAAGCATATTCAAATTAGACAAAAGCATACTACAAATCTAGTAACAATTGATCACCCCACTACTAGTAAAGTGGTTCCCATCATCATTAATTTAATGATGCCATCATTACTAGTAGCACAGTAGAACACAATACAAAATCTACAGATGTAGTTTTCAAATTCAACTTAATAACTTCAAATTATAATTTTGTTTGTCCCCTTGTGACTGTGTGCAATTGTTATGAACCTTCTTGTAGTAGTCAAAAGAGTAGTATTCTACTAATAATTAGTCAAAACAGAAATCTGCTTTTTCTCCACTCCTCATAAATGAAAATCTATGGCTAAAATGAACCAGGCATTCAAGAAATCAGCCAATCAGATTACTTGATTCTTACTAAATACCTGTACTTTGTATTAGAATATTCCCTAACTCCATATTAATGCTAAGCTTGTTCTAAAATTTCAAAAATGGGTGTTTGAAACTGCTGTGAGAGGGCTGTCTGAAATCACATTTGTATCCCACCTTTTCAATTTGTATGATACCACATGCACTACAACATCCCACTTTTTCAATTTGTCCCTACTAGAAAATGTGTGGGTTATTTTTCATGCAAGAAATAGCACACATTTTTAAACCAAGCATTACTTTTCTGATGTAACCCATACTAGTATATATCTGGTACATACCCACAGTTGCACTTCCACCAAAACTCCTTGGAGGAAAGTGCCGCCCCTTGGAGCAGCTAGAAGCATACTTTACACCAGCAAAAGCTATGGTTCTGGCCATATAGTGCCTCTTCTAGTTCATGAGGAGGTTAAATATAATATTAAGATTTTTTTATGTCTGGTACATACCCATAAAACAACCTTAGAATGACTCAAGATTTTAGTGTCATTTTGGTCAAAGGGGATCCAAGAAATGTTGTTGTTTAAAATAGTCATCATTTTGGAGGAGAAAAAGACACTACAAATATCATAAGAAGTGATTGCTACACTAAGAAAGTGGTTCCCATCCTTACTTTGATGATGCCATCCTTATTTTTTCAGTG